GAGGTCAGGAGTTCGAAAACTACAGCCTGAGCAGAGCGAGACCGTTCTCTACTTAAATACGAAAATTAATTGGCCAACTAATTATATGAAAAACTCACGGGATGGTGGGCGCATGCCTGTAGTCCCAGCTACTGGGGAGCTGAGGCAGGAGGATCGCTTGAGCCCAAGGAGTTTGAGGTTGCTGTGAGCTAGGCTGACGCCACAGCACTCTCAGCCTGGCAACAGAGCGAGACTCTGTCTCAAAAAACAAAAAAAAACAAACAAAAAGAAACGGTGCTCCATACCTCAGTATGGGCGTGTCTGTTCCGGATGATATGCACCCCCCAAATCACATCTTGATCTAATTTTTTTTCTTCTTCTTTGTTTGTTTTTTTGTATAGTTATTGTGTTTGCTGATATTATTTTATTGTCTTTAGCCATGACATTTTACATCCTGATAATAAGGGGTTAAACCATTCCAGATTTTGATTGTTTAATAATATTATACCGTTAACAATACATTGTCCTAATTATTGTTCTGGTTTCTCTTTTTATTATTTTTCTAGATTTCATCTATTTTTTTTTTTTTATTCTTTATATGTCTTTTATTTATTTTGTTTAATATATATTGATTTTGGTTGGTTGTGGTTTTTTTTGTCTGTCGTTCATCCCGTATTGTTGTTTTGTTTTGTGGTGTGTTATCCTTTTGTGGCATTGGTTGAGTGCTGCACATATGAGGTCCTCGTTCTCTCTTCTGGAGCAATCCGCCCGCCTCGGCCTCCCAGAGTGCTGGGATTACAGGCGTGAGCCACCGCGCCCGGCCGAGCACCAGGTTTTATGGTTACAAACACCGGCACCAAATTGTTGCTCTGTCAATCACTAGCTATGTGAACTCGGTCACGTTCCTCCCTTTGTGGAATGGGAGAAAAAAAAAAAATCACATGTCATTTCTTAACTGTTTCTAAAAAGGGCCAGATAGTAAGCATTCTCTTCTTTGTAGGCCGCGCGGTCTCTGTTGCAACCACTCAGCCTTGCCACTGTAGTGGCAAAGCAGCCACGGAGAGTGTGTGAACGGCAAGTGTGGCCGTGTTCCAATAAAACTTTATTTATAAAAACAGTTAGTGGGCCAGATTTTGTGGCCTCTGTCATAGGCAGTTGTGTACAGTGGCATCGGGACAGGCTTGACCAAAAACCTGAAGGGGGCAAAGGGGGGAGCCACAGGGACACCAGGGGGGTAACTGTGTTCTAGGCAGAGCGAACAGCCAGTGCAAAGGTCCTGGGGCAGGATTGTGCCCGGTGAGTTTGGAGAGCAGTGGGGAGGACAGTATGGAATATAGTAGATCCTGCAGTGGTGCAGCCACTATTCCCAGCTAATTTTTCTGTTTTTAGCAGAGATGGGTCTCGCTCTTCCTCTGGCTGGTCTCAAACTCCTGGCCTCCAGCGATCTTCCCTCCTCAGCCTCCCAGAGTGCTGGGATGACAGGCGTGAGCCACCGCACCCAGCCCAGAAAATGGCATCATGAATGAATGAATGAACGCTATGTACCTATCCCTCCCTATTACACACTTCACTTATTTATTATGCAGCAAATATATTTAGAGTTTTCGTGCCGCAGATTGCATTTGGGTTTACAAACTTTTCTCTTTAAGCTCACATGGTCTCTTAAACATATTTGAATAGGTTGGGCGCGGCGGCTCACGCCTGTAATCCCAGCACTTTGGGAGGCCTAGGCAGGAGGATCCATTGAGGCCAGGAGTTCAAGGCCAGCCTGGACAACACAGCAAGACCCCATCTCTAAAAAAAAAAATGTAAAACTTAGCCAGGTGTGGTAGCGCATGCAAAGACCTGCCCCTTATACCTCACGGTCTTGGCCCGATGCCTGCTTTCCATCTCTGTGTGACGTTGACACTAGCTGAGAAACTATGAACTTTGCTGTCATTTAATCGATTGTGTCTTGCCCCTACTAGGAAGTCAGCTCCTTTTTTTTTTTTTTTTTTCTGTTTCTCCTGGTTTTCTTGCCGGGTCAGCCTTTCTACACGCAGGCCCCTTCCATAATTTGAAGCAGCGAAGACAGCTGCTGCCCGTGGCACCCGCCCCACCCAGCCACCCAGCGCCCCTCTGTCCGCCCACTCCCGCCTGTGCGCCTTGCCGCTCGCTCCTGTCCCGCCCTGCCTGCGCCCTGACCCCCTGCACCCTGACCCGCCTGCGCCCTGACCCCCTGCACTCTGACCTGCCTGCACCCCGCCCAACCTGCACCCTGACCCGCCTGCACCCCGCCCCACCTGCACCCCGCCCTGCCTGGCCTCACTGACTTTGGCCCCAGGGCTGCCCTGGGACCTGCTCAAAATGACTTTGTCCAAAAAAAAAAAAAAAAATCCTGAATCACTTGTACAGTGAGGTCTGTGACTTATGAGAAAAGGGACTTGGTCTACAGCAGGCCCCTCAGCCTTCCCGCTGGTGCTATTTGGGGCCGGGTCATTTCCCGGGGCGGGGGCCGTTCTGGGCATTGTAGGGTGTGGAGCGGGGGTCTCTGGTCTCTGCGCACTGCTTGCCAGGGGCACCCACCCTACTGTGACAACCACGGACATCGCCAAGTGTCCCCTTGGCAGGGGTGACGTGGACTTGTCCCCGGCTGAGAGCCACTGACTAGGCCGCTGGGGTGTGTCGTAGGCTGGGACAGGCAGTGGGTCTCCGCGCAGCCAGGCTGAGGGCGGCCCAGGTGCTCGTGGCCCGCTAGCATGGACCAGTGGCTCTGCCTTCCCCCAGATCTGAATATGGGGACATGCCCAGGGCCCTGGTGACTTAAAGGACTGGAAGACCCGAGTGCCTTTCCTGTGTGCCCTTGCGAAAGCCCGTCTTTCTTGGCCTCAGTTTCCTCACCCACAACGTGGAGTACCAGCCTCACTCATTCATTCATTCATTCATTCTTGCAACAAGCACTTGTCAGGGAGCGGCTCCAGCCGCCCAGCGATGCCCGGCCGTCACCCCGGAGGTGCTCAGGCCGATGGGGAAGCAGGTGTCGTAGCATGATAAACGCGACAGGTTGAAGACACAGCACAGCTCACCTAGCGACAGATTCGGGGGGGCAGGGGGGTGACACGGAGAGACAGACTGGGATCGGGAACGGGTGGCTGTCGAGGTCCCCCCAGGCAGTGCCATCGTGCCTCAGACCTGAACGGCTGATGAAGGCCACACCGAGAAGAGAAAGTAGCTTCCAAGTGGCGGGACAGCCGTGCGGGTGCCGGGCGCGGCTCACTCATGGCAGTGTACCGTTAGCTGTATGGGTCGGCCACCGCTGCGTGACAAGTCGCCCCAGGACTTCGTGGCTGGAAACAACAGTTACCATCTCGTACTGTCTGGGGATTTAGGAGCTGCTTCGAGGCTGGGCCATTGTGGCTCAAGGTCTCCCGAGAGGCTGCAGTCAGGGGTCGGCCGGGGCTGCCTCAACTGGAGGCTGGCCTGGGGCTGGAGGATGGCCCGGCTCCCTGGGTGACGCGTTTGTAGGCGGGAGGACTGGGCTCCTTGCCACGTGGGCCTCTCGGAGAGCTGCTCACAACATAGCCTGTCCCTGGCAGAGTGATAAAAAAAAGAGAGAGAGCCAGCCGGGCACAGTGGCTCACACCTGTAGTCCCAGCACTTTGGGAGGCTGAGGCAGGAGGATGGCTCGAGGTCAGGAGTTCGAGACCAGCCTGAGGGTAACCACGCGTCCCTCTCCTGTTTCCTGCAGGTCTGCCCTGGCCGCCGGCGCGGTGGAACCGGTGCGATGAATGGGTAGGGGACGCGGGGCGTGCGGAAGGCGGCAGCGCGGAACATGCCTCCGCCAGCCCGGGCTTCTGCCGGCCAGCCGCGCTCATGGCCCGCGCGGGCCCGTCCCTGCCCGGCGTGCTCGACGTCCTGGGCGCCGCAGGCCAGGACAAGCTCTTGCGCCTCAAGCACAAACTGAAGCCCCTGCGCGCGGGCTGCCAGGGGGCCGGCCTCCTCCACGCCATGGTGCTGCTGACGCTGGGCCAGGACACGGAGGCCAGGATCGCTCTGGAGGCGCTCAGGGCGGACGCGGTGGCGCGGGAGGTGGCGCGCCAGTGGGCCGGCGGCGTGGACGGCGTGGACGGCACTGAGGCCGCCGAGCAGCCCCCCGACCAGGCCTGGGCGGTCGCCCGCCTGTACCACCTGCTGGCCGAGGAGAGGCTGTGCCCGGCCTCGCTGCGCGACGCGGCCTACCAGGCGGCCCTGCGCGACCTGGGCGCCAGCGAGGACCGCCGGCTGGCGGAGCTCCGGGTTGAGGCCCGCGACCGGTGCGGCTGGGACGTCGTCGCGGACCCGGGGGGCTTCCAGAGCCTCCACTCCGACCGGGGCCGCCTTCCAGAGTCCTCAGCTCCGCCCTCTGCCACCCGCAGCCTGCCTCGCCCCATCGACGACCCGTCGGGCTGGAGCCGGGGCCGCTCCCTGCGGTCCACCAGCCCGGCCTCGCTGGCCAGCCACCTGGAGATCAGCCAGTCGCCCACCGCGCCCTTCCTCAGCGCGCACCGCAGCCCCTGCGGGCCCAGCAAGCTCTGCGACGGCGCCCGCGCCCGCCCGGAGCCCGAGCCTGGCCCCAGCGGCGGCCGGGAGCCCGAGGAGATGAGCTGGCCCCCGTCGGGGGCGGCCGCCGGCTCCCCGGCAGCTGCCGCGCTCCCCGGAGCGCCCTGCGGCGGCCCCAGCCCCGGCCGCAGCCCCTGCCGGCCGCCCCGGCACCCCCGACGCCGCGGAAGCGCGCGCCCGCTGCCCCGTGGAGTGCACCGAGGGGGCGCCCGCGCCTCTCCCCGCGCCCCTCCCGGAGCCCGTGGGGAACCCCTGCCCTGGGGCAGACCAGACGCCGCTCCAGCTCTCCCGAGGAGACGCCACGTGCCCAGATACCGAGCCATGCCCAGCTGCTCCCTCTGTGCCCCAAACGCCCGGTCCCCAAACGCCGCCTTCTGCTCCTCCTCCGCCGTCCCCTGGCTCGGCCTACGTGGCCTCCGCGTCCCCTGGCTCGGCCTACGTGGCCTCCGCGTCCCCTGGCTCGGCCTACGTGGCCTCCACGTCCCCTGGCTCGGCCTACGTGGCCTCCGCGTCCCCTGGCTCGGCCTACGTGGCCTCCGCGTCCCCATGGGCGTCCTCCCCCGAGCTGCCACTGGAGCAGAAGTTCTACAACTTTGTGGTCCTCCACGCCAAGGCGGACGAGCGCGTGGCCCTGCGGGTCCGGGAGAAGCTGGAGGCCCTCGGCGTGTCCGACGGGGCCACCTTCTGCGAGGACTTTCAGGTGCCCGGGCGCGGGGAGCTGCGCTGCCTGCAGGACGCCATAGACCACTCGGCCTTCGTCGTCCTGCTGCTCACCGCCAGCTTCGACTGCCGCCTGAGCCTGCACCAGGTGTGCCACGCCCTGATGAGCAGCTTCACGAGACACGGGTGGCAGGACTGCGTGGTCCCCTTCCTGCCGCTGGAGAGCTCCCCGGCCCAGCTGCGCTCCGACACGGCCAGCCTGCTCGCCGGCCTGGTGTGGCTGGAGGAGCACTCCCCGGTCTTCGCCAGGAAGGTGGCCAACACCTTCAAGCCCCAGAAGCTTCGGCGCCGCAGGGACAACTGGAGGAGGGAGCAGGACGCCCGGGCCCTGCGCGCGCGGAGCCAACACCTGGAGGGCGAGCGGGCGCAGGCGGCGGCCCTGGGCGCCGCGCACTCCAGCTACGTGCAGAGCTGCCTGGCCTGGCAGGCGCAGATGGAGCAGCTCCAGGGGGCTTTCCGGAGCCACATGTCGCTCGGGACTGGGATGCCCTTTGCGGCTGCGGGACCCTTCGTGGGGGGCCAGGGACCCCAGGGAGCCCCGCCGCCCTTCCCCAGCTGGCTGGGCTGCCCGCAGCCACCGCCCCTGCTGCCCCCGTGGCAGGCGGGCGCCCCGCCAGCGGCCTTCCCGCCGCCGCCCGCACCGACCTTCCCCCCCGCGTCCCCGGCGCCCCCTGCGAGCCCGGGCCTGCAGCCGCTCATCATCCACCACGCTCAGATGGTGCAGCTGGGGCTCAACAACCACATGTGGGGCCGGCGAGGGGCGCAGGCGCCCGAGGACGAGACGCAGGAGGCCGAGTGACCCGCGTCCGGGTCACGGGGACACCTGGGGACCCCGGCCTCGCCGCGCCTGCCCTGCCCCGGGTCACGGGGACACCTGGGGACCCCCGGCCTCCCCGCGCCTGCCCTGCCCCGGGTCACGGGGACACCTGGGGACCCCGGCCTCGCCGCGCCTGCCCTGCCCGGGACGGCGGGAGGCCGGCCCTGCGCTCGGGACCCTGCCGGCCGCTCGTCTCTCAGGACACGGCAGAGCTGGCTTTGAGGACCTCCTGGCCTTCGGGTGGCCGGAAGGGGACACTGTTTACGTTCTCTGCCCATCTCTGGGTGGGGGGTTCTCGGCGCTGGGCGCGTTCGCAGGGTCCCTCAATCGTAATAAATATTTATTGAACGCCGCCGCAGCGGCCTGCTCTCGGGGCGACCTCTGCCTGGGTATTTGTTACGAAACACGTGGCTCCGGTCACGCCACTCGGGGAACCGGAAGGAGGAAGAGCGAGCCGGAAGTTGTGCGTCTCCGCTCCCGTCTCGTTGGCCAGGGCTTGGTCACGTGACCCCCCAGCGCCTGCTGCACGGGAAGCTGGGAAATGTAGTCTTTTGGTTGGCCACGTGTCTTGGGGGGAAGTCTTGGTGCTAAAGGAGAGAAGGCAGGGAGAGGGGACATTGAGCAGTTTGGGCTGCCGCCCTTCTCCTTCCACTTGCTTTGGGGGGTCTGCATGGATGTCCCCACCAAGGCTGTGGGGTCTGTGTGACCTTGGGCAAGTGTCTTCCTCTCTCTCTCTGAACCTCTGTTTTCTCAACTGAGAAGTGGGTTTGTGGAGGTCGTTGTTTGGAGATCATCAACAGGTCGTGTGCAGTCACATGTAAACACAGGCGCGTCGTACACCAGGCGCACAGGTGTGTGTTAAGTGTGCATGCCCTGCACCGAGGGGACAGCGCGACGGACCTTTTGAGAGCAAGAATAGAGTCAGCATTTGTTGAGCACTTAGCATTTATCGATTCTTCAGGCTTTCAGCACATAAACACATTTTAATCCTCAAAACGACCTCTCAAGGTAGAAGCCTCTATTATATAATGGACCCATTTTAGAGGTGGGGAAAACTGAGGCCCAAAGAGGTGAATTTTGGCCCCCCAAGTCACACAGATCAGAGGTGTTGAGATCACAATTGAAAAGCTAAACTCCCAAGGGAGGGAAGGAAAGAGGGCCCCCGAAGGGCGAAACGGACCCACTGAGGCTGGGAGCTGCAGGCCTGCTCCGCCTGACAGCTGGTTTGACCCTTGACGTTGCCGGCCTCTCCGTGCATGGCCGGGCCACGAGGAAGGGCAGGTCTGGTGTGAGTCACCCTGGCAGTCATGCACCACTTGCTATTTTAGTCGCTGACTCAGACTTTGTCAGAGCCCTGGCCCTGGTGGCAGCCACGTGGCCATGAAGTGAAACCTGGAGGGCGAGTTCTGAGATTAGATTCCAGGGCGGGTGGGGTTGTCCGGACAGAGGGCTTCTGGCCGTCGAGGCAGGAGCCAGCTGTGAATATTATCGGACAGTGAACCGGCCACTTGTATGTTTGACCAACATTTATTGAGCGCCTACTGTGCGCTGGTGGGCTCTGTCCCAGGCGCTGGGAAGCAGTGAAGATGAAGTCGGAAGTGAGCAGTCGCTTGCTGTCACTTCTGTGCGGGCGGAGGGGAGGAAATAGTGAACAGGTCATCAAAGAAGGAAGCGAGATGATTTCTGAAAGTGAAGAGACTCCAGAGGGAATGAGTGGGTCGAGGCGATCGGGTGTCCCAGGAGGGAGAACTGCAGCCGGAGGGGTCCGGGGCCGAGACCTGGAGGAAGAGAAGGAGTCGGTTGTGGGAAAAGCTTGGGGTGGGGGTAGGGATGATTTGGGCAGCGGGCACAGCCCGTGCAAAGGTCCTGGGGCAGGACGGCACCTGGCGTGTCGGAGGCACAGCGAGGAGGCCTGTGTGGCTGGAGCAGAGGGAGGAGGGGGCGAGAGGGAGGAGGGGAGGGTGGGGAGGGGCCGGGGCAAGTCTGGCAGGACCTGGTGGGTTGCAGGGAGGACTTGGATCTTTACACCGAGGAAGGTGGGAGCCATGGAGGGCCGTGGGCAGAGGGATGTGTCCTGACTCAGGGGCTCACGCGCGCCCTCTGGTGGCTGCTGCAGGGAAGACAGGCTTTGAGGCAGGGGTGAGGGCAGGAAGGTGGGGGGACCCAGTCAGAGGGGACTGTACTACTCCAGGTGGCTGTCCCCATGTCCCCCCAGCAGATCTGCACAGGAAAATCATTTCGAGAGCCCCAGGACTGAGGGCCTACTCACTGGGGGGTATCAGGCCCTGCGCCGGAGACGGTCATTGTGCCCAATTTACAGAAGAAGACGAGGCCCAGAGAGGTGAAGTCACTTATCTAAGGTCACACAGCCAAAAAAGTCGCCTGCAGGCCCAGGAGAAGGGGCGGAGGTTCTCCACTGGGTTCCGGCCCCTACGGAGGCTGTTAACGATTCATTTCCCCCGCTTTTATATTTTTCATAGTTTTTTTATTTTTCCCCGTTTTAAAATTCTTGAATATATCCGTGTTCATTTTATTGATCAATTTGTGGTTTCCCCGCCATGAGCTGCCCACCGGGGCGGGCAGGGGACGGACTTTCTTGTCACGGGAATGTTTTCGGAACCCGGCCTGCGCTGGGCAGAGCACACAGTATGTGCTCAGTAAATGAAGTCTTTTGGTGAACAATTATTGAGCGCTTGTTGTGTGCGGGCCTCCGTTGGGCGCGGGGGACGCGGAGCTGTTCCCTGCCCTGGTGGAGCTCGTTGGGCAGCCAGCGGGGAGGATGTCGGTGCGTCTGTCCATTTATCCAGCCAGCATTTATTGAGCGCCTGCTGTCTGCGGGCTCTGCAGTCACCGCCACGGTGACCCGTTTTGTCTTCTCCCGGTCTGTTGCCATAGAGAGACACGGTCAAGTAGTTGTGGGGTGATCTGGACTTTAAGGGGGAGACGCAGGGACCACAGGAGGCCTAAGGGGACCCTGGACCAGCCTGGGGCGGATTGAGGGAAACTTCTGGAAGGAGGAAGTAGCTGAGACCTGCAGCATAACTCAGAAGGAGCCCTGGGCTGGAGCAGTGTTCTGGGGGGCACGGCCCGGGCAGGAGGGCCAGGGCAGGAGGGCCAGGGCAGGACGGCCCGGGCAGGAGGGCCAGGGCAGGAGGGCACGGGCAGGACGGCCCGGGCAGGAGGGCCAGGGCAGGGAGGCCAGGGCAGGGAGGCCAGGGCAGGAGGGCCAGGGCAGGGACGGGCCAGGGCAGGGACGGCCAGGGCAGGAGGGCCAGGGCAGAAGGGCACGAGCAAGACGGCCAGGGCAGGACGGCCAGGGCAGGAGGGCCAGGGCAGGACGGCCAGGGCAGGAGGGCCAGGGCAGGGACGGCCAGGGCAGGGACGGCCAGGGCAGGAGGGCCAGGGCAGGGACGGCCAGGGTAGGAGGGCCAGGGCAGGAGGGCCAGGGCAGGGACGGCCAGGGCAGGAGGGCCAGGGCAGGAGGGCCAGGGCAGGACGGCCAGGGCAGGACGGCCAGGGCAGGAGGGCCAGGGCAGGAGGGCCAGGGCAGAACAGGCAGCTCCAGGCTCAAGGCACCGCAGGCCACGATCCGCGCTGCTCCGGCGCCCCCTGGCGGCCCTGCCCGCGGCCCCACTCTGCGCAGGCTTCCGGGAGTCGCGTGTCCCCTCTGAGCCCGACAAACAGCCTCAAAGCCCAGTGGGAGTAAAAATATTCCAAAACTTTCCCCTTCTTTGAAACTGTGAAATGTGGGCCGGGCGCGGCGGCTCACGCCTGTGATCCCAGCACTCCGGGAGGCCGAGGCGGGAGGATCAGTGGAGCTCAGGAGTTGGAGACCAGCCTGTCTTTCTGCGGCTGTCGGGTATTAACAAATGTCCTCCTGCTCTCCGGGCCCAGAGAGGGCAGTGTTTTGCCCATCGTCACACAGCACGTGAGAGGCTGGACACTTGACCTGGGCAGAACTGGGTGGTGCTGTGTTTGAACTGAGAATCTTCTGGAGGGCCCCCCCAGACACCGAGGATCCAACATGCATAGACAGAGTCACCAGAGGGCGCCATCGGACAGTGGTGCCAGTCTCCCGCTGCCCGGGCTGGGCCCAGTCCCTCTTTCGGAGCTTGGAGAGGTGGGGACCCCCAAAAAGTGCCCAGTCCCAAAGGTGGCGCTCACCCCTAGGGTCCTGCAGGTGCAGGGCCTTCCGAAATCATTGCCTAAGGCTGGTGTTTCCAGGCTGGGACTTGGAGCCCAGAGAGGGCAGACGCCTGCCTGGGGCCACACAGCAGGTCCTACTCCGCTCCCCCCATGTCCCCCAACCCTGGGGCTTGCCTGGGCTCACAAATGCCATCCCCGAGGGCTCCTGGGCAGGGATCTTTTATTTCTAACCTGTTCAGTGGCTGTGGCCTTATTATAGCCCCGGGAGGTGGCCACGGTTTCCAGTTTCCAAGAGGAGTCAGAAAACCGTTTCCCTTCTCAAGAAAAGCCTGACACCTCTCGGGTGAGCCTGGCCCAATCGCTTCTCTTCCCTGCGGCTCCCCTGGGTCCCTGGGGTCCCCAAACCTTTCCAGCTCCCACCCCGGAAGTCCCTTTCCCCTCTGCCTGGTGCCTGGGCCCTGGCCCCTCAATGACTTCCTGCTGGGGGGCCTCGACGGGTCCCCACCCCTCTCTGGAGTCCCCGTTAGTCAAACAGGGTGACGATGCTCTCTGGCACCGTCTGCTGATCTGCAAACTGTGGCCACGACGCCAGCACTTTATTTACTCAATGCAGTTTCTTTTTTTATTTATTTTTTTGAGACAGTCTCACTGTGTTGCCCAGGCTAGAGTGAGTGCCGTGGCGTCAGCCTAGCTCACAGCAACCTCAAACTCCTGGGCTCAAGCGATCCTCCTGCCTCAGCCTCCCGAGTAGCTGGGACCACAGGCATGCACCACCATGCCCGGATAATTTTTTCTATATATATTAGTTGGCCAATTAATTTCTTTCTATTTATAGTAGAGATGGGGTCTCGCTCTTGCTCAGGCTGGTTTCAAACTCCTGACCTTGAGCGATCCTCCCGCCTTGGCCTCCCAGAGTGCTAGGATTATAGGTGTGAGCCACCGCGCCCGGACTGTAGTTTCTTTTTAGAGATGGGGTCTCACTATGTTGCCCAGGCTTGCCTCAAACTCCTGGTCTCAACTGATCCTCTGGCCTCGCCTCCCTAAGTGCTGGGGTTACAGGCGTGAGCCACCATCCCCAGATGTTATATTCAATTTCATTAAACTTTGTAAAAAACTGGCTTTCAGTTTCATTGATTTTTCCCCCCAATCATTTGCTCATCTCTATTTCAATGCCTTCCACTCTATTCTTTCCTCACCCCTGCTTATTTTGGGTTGACTTTGCACTTACAGTATTTTTCTAGCTTTTCAGGTGAAACTTCTTTGAATGAGCCCTGTGAGCAAGTTCATTTATTCATTCAACAAACGCCTAGTGAGCGTTAGGGTCAGGCCCTAATCCAGGTCCCCGGGGCCCAGCAGGGATGAACGTGTGTAGTTGGTGTTCTGAGGAAGGGGACAGCACAATGGACCGACAACGGAGCAAATCTAGAACACAACGTAATGGCCAGGCACCAGGGCTCACGCCTGCAATCCAAGCACTCTGGGAGCCCTAGGCGGGAGGATCACTTGAGGTCAGGAGTTCAAGACCAGCCTGGGCAACATAGCAAGACCCTGTCTCTAGAAAAAATATACAAAAATTAGCCGGGCATGGTGGCCCATGCCTGTAGTCCCAGGTACTCAGGAGGCTGAGGCAGGAGGATCATTGGAGCCCAGGAGTTGGAGGCTGCAGTGAGCTATGATGAGGCCACGGCACTCCAGCCTGGGTGACAAAGTGAGACCCTGTCTCTAAAAAAGCAAAAAAAAGAGGCTAAAGAAATACACAGGGGGCTGTGATGGAGGGTGCCTGAGGCTGCACTTTGGTTAATCTGGGAAGGCTTCATGGAGGAGGTGACATTTGATTAAGACTATTGCTTTAGTAGACATTAAATAATAAATACAAATGATGAATCAATAGTTAGTGCCATTAAGATTAATTAGTAATTAGTGTCTATTAAATTGGCAGACCTTTAAAGCCAGGCCTTACTGCAGGACACGAGGGCACGGGGCAGGGGCATCTGGGATGTCGCGCTCAGTGCTGGGGTTCGGGGCCTCCCCTGCAGCCTAGAGACACAGGAGCCGGGCCGCGGGGAACATTCTTCCCTCCCTCCGCCAGGGCTGGGGCTGGCCACGTGTGGGCCGCGTCCTGCCTCACATGTTCCGGTCACCGCGCGGTGGACCCACCCTCTTGTTTTCCAATCCTGACCGCGTCTCCCCGCAGGAACCCGCGCCCCCACCCAACCCGTCCTGGGACGCGGATCTGATGTCCCTGGGCGAGTCATCTCGCCTTTTCGGCCTGTGATGTGACTCCGAGCTGTGCTATCTTTAACCTGGGGTGGGGACATCCCCTCCCCGTCCACGCTGCTCGGGTAACGGCCCTGGAATGTCACAGGGCGGGGCCGGGACTGGCACAGCCATCGGGGCCTGCTCGTGGCCCCAGCCGCTGCCCCAAGCACTCAGAGGACGTGAGTCCCGGAGGCGAGAGGCGTTCGTTCACTCACTCATCCGCTCACCCCCTCAACACGCACCCACGGGCGGTGGCGTGGGCCGGCCCGGCCTGGGTGCCGAGGCCACAGCAGAGACCGGGACCTCCACGGGCTCCCGAGGGTCTGAGAAATGTTGCCCAAGCAGCCGAGCGAGTGAATGGGCGAAGTTCAGGCCCCGACTTCAGTTCTGTGGAGACTGAGGCAGCAGGCAGGGAGGGCAGCAAGTGTGGGGTCGGGGGCTGCCTGACTCTGACAGCCTCTGGCTTGAGTTTAACCCCTGACCCCCTGGGCAAGCCCCTTCCCCTCCCTAGACCTACTTGCTCACCTGCAAATGACTCGGGTCATTGGCTGTGTGACATTGGGCAGGTCACTTGACCTCTCTGAGCTTTTTCCTTCTCTGATAAATTGCAGGTAGTGACTTTATTATTGCAGACCGTTTGTGCTGTCCTCTACAGCATTTGCTCCATTTTCCAGCAACACCCGTTTCCCCTGGACGACTGACCGTCTGGGTGGTGGGCGCCTCTCCCAATCCGACCTAAGGTGATTGGAGGCAAGCCAATTGGCACGTCCCACTCCAGGGCTACTGTGATTGGCTGAAGGGAGGACATGTGACCCAGGCTGGCCCAATCAGAGTGAACCCTGGGATTTTGGCTGGGAGAAAGATGACCTTTTCTCCCGCTGGGGTCTATTCTGGCAGCTGCTGTCTTGGGGATCCTGCCCACCACCTGCACAGCAGTCCGAGAGCAGCTAATCAACCAGGCCATCAGCAACCATTCTGATCTGCTGGATCAACCCTCACCTGAAACCTGCAAGAGCTTGAAGATGGCCTTCATGAGAAGGAAGGAGGCTAAAGTCACCATTCTCAAATCTTAGCTTTTAAAGAAAACGTTCAGCCCTGATTAATTTTTCCTTGTGGAGCGATTTGCTGGGGCTCAGGGGCAGCGATTCTGACAAGACTCAAAAGGGGGCTGAGGCAGGATGGCCACCTGCCCCAGGGACGGGACAGCTTGTGCCAGAGCAGCACCAAAAAGTAGGAGAAAGGGGTCCCTGGTGTCCACCTTCTCAGATGTTTCCATCTCATGTTCCTCCCACTCCTGGGCCGGACGGGCACAGGCGTGGGCCGGACAGCCCTGAGTTCGGATCTCAGCTCTTCGTACTCTGTGTCCTCAGGCAAGTGTGTCACCCTCTCCTAACAGCCCCGGCTGCCCCCGCGTGCCAGACAGGAACGATACCCTCTGCTCTAGAGGCTGCTGTGCAGACGAGACGGCCCGGTGAAGGGCGGGAACAGTATGGGCTCAAGAAGGGCTCACTGGGCACTGCGACAGCTGCGGGTTCGAATCCACCCCTTCAACGCAACACGGCCATAGTCACGCCGCAGCCAGACAGACGCCACCTGTAAGTCGTCCCTCCCCAAACCAAGCCCGATGGCAGACACGAAACTAGATGTGGAGGAGGAACCGCCCAACCCCATGCGCCACCGGACTCGCCACGTCCCCAGACAGGGCCTTTCCCCGCCACGACGAGGCGAGAGCTCCGGGGACGTTCGAATCTCTGGGGTCACCCCGCCAATCGTCACCCCTGAGGGGCTCTGCAGAGACCCACCAGACCAGCTGTAAGTGGCCCTTTCTGGCTGGCATTTGACTGTCCCCATGTGGAGAGAACCGGAACTTTGAAACAGAGTTTGCCCCACGAGGAAGGATGACGGAAAAGGGGGTGGGACTCGCCTCCCTAGCCGGCAGCGGCTCCAGGACGCCCACGAGTTCAGGGACAGCAGCCCACTGGCTCCGTGGGCCAGCTCGCTGGAGCCAGCTCGGTTTGACCCAAACAGCAACCGCCACCCCGTCCCTGTGGCGCCTGCTCCAGCCTCCTGGGAGGGGCCTCCTGGTGACTGCAGCCTTCTCCGCCTGGACGGCGTCACACCACCCACCTGTCCCCATGGCAACCCTCCCCCACCCTCCCCTAACCAGACAGGGTGGCCCCACCGCTGGCCTGTCACCGGGGCCAGTGCCACGGGTTCCCACCCCGGACCCCGCAAGGACCCGCAGGCGGTTCTCTTCAAACACCTCCTTTTTAATGACTCAAACACCAGCGAGAGGCGCACACCTCACCGGTCTCGCCTCCTTGCTGGGCCTCGGAAGGGACAGGAACTGCCTTTCCCGCCTGGGCTAAGGGGAGGCCTTGTCTCGTGAACAAACCATTTCCTAACAAACACTGCAAACGGTGCCCGGGCCCTTCAGGGGCAGGACGGCGGGGCCGCCGCTCCCCAGGGCCGTCTGTGGCCGCCGCGGGGGACGGGCGCAGGGAGAGGGGACGCCCAGCTCGTGAACGTCACTCTGCTCCAGAGACGCTCCCTCGGCGACTCGCTGCTCTCCTGACAGAGGAAGACCCTGCCCTGCCGGCCAGGCCTTGGGGACCTCTTCCTGCGCAAACTCCCGCTGGGCGGCTCCTCCCGCACTACCCTGCCCCGCACCGGGCGCCCCGCTGCAGGCCGTCGCTGGCGTCCCCGTCTCAGCCAGCGGATCCGCCGAGGTAGGGCTCTACCCGGCCTTTCTCGGGAAGACCTGGATTCTTGTCCTCGACGGAGCAGCCAAAATAGTGGCTCAGGCCACTTGTGGACGAACCCTCGACGAAAGCAGAGACCGTGTGAGGTCCGCGGGGCTGAGCGGCCTGCAGTTTCCACCCGGAAACCACGGTGACCCAGACCAACCGTGTCGTGTCAGTGCAGCCGCGTGGCAACTGCCATCGGGCTTTGATGTCACTCCTTTGGCGTTTAACCTGATCTTTGTTCGGAAGAACGGTTCTCTTTCTAACGACGGAAGCTGGGAGGCCTATAAAAGGCAGAAGAGTGAAGTTCCGTAAACACGTACGGCCACTGTGCTTCAGGGACCACGACCACAGCTCGTCCCTCGCCCGGCAAATCCCTCACACGCTCCCTCCCTCCCTGGGGCCTCAGCCAACTCAGGCACCACAAAAGCCTCACTGCTCTAAGCTAACTTATACGGGAGTCTGACAAATGAATTCTTAAAAAAAAAAAAAAAGAGGCGGTAAAATCTCAGAACTTCCGTGCAACGCTAGTCACCTGCCCACTCGTGAAATAAACAGAACACCAAACCACGGAGAGCTAGCGGGCGGCAGGCGGCCCTGGGCGGAGGGCCCGCACCCCGGCCAGCGTGACGGGGAGCGGGGCACGACTGTGCTGGGAGAAACGAGGGGCGGCCTGGCTCCCTGACTTTCCGACTCTCGCCGCTGGGCGCCCGGTCCCCACACTGTGCTTGGCAGCTGGGCTCCTCTGGCCGCGTGGGGGCGGGACAGGCACACCGGCTCTCTGCGTCTGTCTGTCGCAGGGAAGGAAGGCGACGGCTTTAGTCCCTCGGTCTCGGGCAGAAGGCAGAGGCCTCCGAAACCCAGGTGGACAGGATACAGGGAGGTCTCGGGTCGCTCCCCAGTTCGGGACGCGTGGCTGGGCTCTTCGAGAAAGCCGGTCCTCCTGGCACTTGACCCTGAAGGCTGCTAGCACCAACGGCGTGCGATCTCCCTCCCCTTCTGCCTGCAGGGGAAGGGGGCGGAGGTGGCAGAGCCCTGGCCCTCCTGACGCGGCCTGCGTCTGCCACACACCTTGCCGACTGCTCCCCGGGGTGCGAACCCTCCGGGCAGGTCAGTGCAGCTCAATGAAGGCCTCCAGCTCTTCGGGGATGAAGCCCTTGTAGGGGATCTTGTTCTTGTCCAGGGCCCGGGCCGCAAGGCACTGCAGGGTCACGTAGTTGAAGGGCTGCATGGTGCTCCGGGCCAGCAGCTTCTCGTCCAGCAGCTCGTAGGCGGTTTTCTTGAAGGCGTTGGTGGCGTCCATGTGGGCCCCCGCCTCGATCAGCGCGTCCATGACGGCCGGGCAGTTGTTCTGGGCCGCGATGTGCAGCGGAGTGTTGTTGTCAAAGTCCCTGCCGTCCGGGTCGGCCCCGCAGTCGAGCAACACTTTGACCACGTGCAGCGAGGGGAATCTGCCCACCGGGTAGCGGCCCACGTTCGTGGTCTCCTTGTCCACGGCCATGTGCAAAGGGGTGAAGCCATTCTTGCCGCGGGGAGCACACTTGAGCAGGCGGTACACGGTCTGGTGCTTCATGTGCTCCTGGCTCGGGGTGCACTCCACTTTCTCCAACAGGTAGAGCAGGTGCAGGATGATGGCCAGAGCCTTGGTGAACTGCGCCGAGTCCCCAGGCTCCTTGGGCATCTGCAGGGCTCGCTCCACCTCCCGGACCCCTTTGCTGAGCACGCCCATGAGGTCTGCAAAGCCGATCTGCGTGCCCAGGCTGCCCTTGGCCGACCGGTCCTGCAGCACGTAGGAGAAGAGTTCGGCAAAGGAGAGGAAACTGCTGGCGGTCATGGGGCTCAGGGGCTCCAGGTTGTTCTGCTGCATGTCCAGGGCGTACTTCCACAAGCGGATGCAGCGCTCGAAGTTGCCCGAGTCGGCGTACACGGCGCCCCGGTAGCGGATGTAATACGAAGTGTCCGGGTGCGAGGGGCCGAGGATGCGCTCGCGGATCAGCAGGGCCTGCATGCGCATCTCGTCCGGGTCGGTGATCAGCGCTTCCAATTCCTCGGCGGTGTTCACCTCCCTCGAGTAGTCATAGGCCAGGACCAGCTGCTGGGGCTCGGGCTTGGGCAGGTACTCGCCCCCCTGGTGGCGCAGCTCCATGGCCCGTCTCCAGTGTTTGAGGGCCCCCAGCAGGTCTCGCTTCTTATCCACGTATGTGGCTCCCAGCAACTCCAAGGCTTCCACGGCAGCTTCTCGGCTGGTGGGGCAGCAGCTTTCGTAAGATTCACTGTCCGGCGGTTCCTCCGGGGAGGAGCTGCAGCTTCGAGCCCCCTGGGGCTGCACACACCCCTGGCTGGCGGAGGGACCTTCTGCCCCGGCGGCCTGCTCCTGGCCTGGCTGCTCCTGGATGAGGTACTCCACGATGTTGGTGTGGCCCGTCACGCTGGCCGCCAGCAGCGGCGTCATGCCGTAGCCGTCGCGTTCCATGCGGGCGTTGCAGCCCAGCAGCAGCTGCAGGATCTCCAGGCTGCCGGACTCGGCGCAGTCGTGCAGGGCGGTGTTGCCCTTGGCGCTGCGCCGGTTCACCTGGGCGCCCTGCTCCAGCAGGTAGCGGGCGATCTCGCGGTGGCCCTTGTAGCAGGAAATCATGAGGCAGGTGTGCCCGTGCCGGTTGGCCACCTCCAGGTCGGCCTGGTGCTCGCCCACCAGGTAGCGCACCACCTCGAGGTGGCCGTCGAAGCAGGCGGCGCGCAGGGGCGTGGAGTTGGTGCGCGTGGTGCGGTTCACCGAGGCCCCGCGCCGCAGCAGGCTCCGCACCACGTCCAGGTGGCCGGCGGCGGAGGCGGCCCACAGCGGCGGCGCGCCCTCGATGGTCTCGCCGTCGAAGTGCACCGAGCCGCCGGCCTCCACGCTCGCGCCGCACCGGTCCACCAGGTACTCCACCACGTCCAGGTGGCCGTAGCGGGCGGCGATGAGCAGCGGCGTCCCCCCGCCCGCCACCTCGCCGGTCAGCTCGTCCAGCTCCTCCCGGCTCCGGCCGCTCAGCAGCTTCTGCAGCAGCTGCAGCTTGCCGTCGCGGGCCGCATTGTACACGGCGGTGCGGAGGTCCATGGTCCGGGCCTCCGCCAGGCCATGGGCCGGCCGCCGGGAGGCGGGGAGAGACGGCGGATCAGAGCCCGGCCGGGCGGGCGGCAACCTTCACCGTCTCCCCCACCGCCATCTCAGGGGCGCTTCTGGCGGAACAAAATGGCTGCCGCGACCTGGCGCCGTCGGTGTGTTGGAGCACGCCGGGAAATGGAGTCCTCTGCGGAGGCCCAGTCTATAGAGTGAAGAAGGAACTAGTAGGGCTTAAGACTACATTTCCCAAAAGGCCGCGGGACAACTGCTGCGAACTGTGAGCGCGCTGCATGGTGGGAATTGCCGTTCCAATGGTAGCTGATGACAGCCGAAGTTGACAATCCGAAGACTACAATTCCCGTCATGCAACGCCACACGCTATAGCTTGTGGGACCCAGGGAAATTTGGGACGTACTTCCTGAGGCTGTCCCTGCGCCGCAGCTGACTGGGAAACAGGCGCGGGATTCCCCTAAAAGACTACATTTCCCGAAAAGGCATCGACTCCCAACCAATCAGGAGCGAGAGTGAAGGCTCGGGTAGGCTCAGCGGTCGTGTGCGATTTGTGCCCGGCCTGGGCGAGCCGCCTACCGGCAGGGGGCGCGCGAGCGAAGCGCAACAGCGGAGCGGGAGCTGGGAGGACAGGTGGCTGTAAGGGTCAACATTCATCGCTCGTAGCCTGAGCAAGAGGGAGACCCGTCTCTGCTAAAAATAGAAAAATGAGTCAGGTGTGGTGGCACCTGTAGTCCCAGCTACTCAGGAGACTGAGCCAGGAGGATCGCTTTAGTCCAGAAGTTTGACGTTGCTGTGAGCCAGGCTGCACACCACTCCAGTAAGGGCGACAGAGTTAGACCTTGTCTCAAAAAAAAAATCACTCATTCTTCTTATTCATTCATTCATTCATCACCATTCACATACATTATTTATGTCCTAGCACATGTCAGACTTTCATTCCCTTTTTAAGGCTGAATAATATTCCATTTTATGGACATACTACACTTTTTCTTTATTTCTTATTTATTTATTTTTTTCTTTCAAAGATTCAGCTGCAAATTAATTGGCCAACTAATATATATATATATATATATATATAAATTAGCCGGGCATGGTGGCTCATGCCTGTAGTCCCAGCTACTCGGGAGGCTGAGGCAGGAGGATCGCTTGAGCCCAGGAGTTTGAGGTTGCTGTGAACTAGGCTGACGCCACGGCACTTACTCTAGCCTAGGCAAGAAAGCAAGACTCTGTCTCAAAAAACAAAAAAACAAAACAAAAAAAAAAAAACAAAGATTCAGCTGCAGATATACTACATTTTCTTTATCCATTCATCCACCCAGGGACGTTGGAGGCAATCCCACCTTCTGTCTATTGGAAGTGATGGTTCCGTGGATGTGGGTGTCCTGTGTTTTCTTTTTTCCTTTCTTAGTTGAGACAGACTCTCGCTCTGTTGCCCGGGCTAGAATGCCATGGCATAAGCCTAGCTCACTGCAACCTGAAATTCCTGGGCTCAAGTGATCATCCTGCTTCAGCTTCCCTAGTAGCTGGGACTACAGGCATGTGCCATGACTCCCAGCTAATTTTTCCTATTTTCTGTAGAGACGAGGTCTCGCTCTTGCTCAGGCTGGTCTCGAACAGGAGTTCCTGACCTTGAGCGATCCTCTCACCTCAGCTCCCAGAGTGCTGGGATTACAGGTGTGAGCCACCGCGCCCGGCCTCCAGATCGGATTTCATGGCGTAGTTTAAATGTTTGTAATGAATAGATTGGACCATTTAAAATGTACATACACACAACCCAAAGTAACTTATTTGCTTGCCCACAAAAAACATTAGATTGAACTCTTAGATGATGGAGTTGAAAAGTCAGAATTTCTGCAGTGACATCAGTACTCTTAAAATTTCCAACACAGAACCCTGAACTCAACTAGGATTTGAAGGTCATGTGGGTGTCTATCAATCTAAAGGCTTTGTTATGTGTTAATGTCCCTCCCCAGATGGCAATGTCCTACAATATAATTGTTCTTTCCACAAGGTATTCAGAGGATTTATTTAAGAAAATTAATTCACTAGACGGATCGAGGTTTGATACTGGAACAGCAGCTGAAAGTTGCATGTCGAACGTCTTTTGAGGCTGCCAGGGCACGCCTGGGACTGGGCATAAGACCATTTAGGATATGGGAGGCTCCAACCAGATGGACTGTCGTCAACCCTTGGGACATTTCTTTGTCCCTCTTATCGTGTTTTGCACAGCAGGGAGGCTAAGTGTTTTGAGAGAAAATACTTTATTCGCCATTTGCCTCTCAACACAGCCAAGAGGTTAACTGTGAAACCCGAATTCATGGGTTCAGCAGACAAGCTCCTGCCCAACAGTCGCATGGCTTTGGGGAAGGGGCTCAACCTCCCTGTACTTAGCATCTGTAAAATGGGGATGGAGGGGCTGTGTGAGGCCTGAGAGGGAAAATACACCTAAAAGTTCTCTGTAACCTCACATGTGCAAGGTGTTGGGGTAGGTAGGAGTCACCTTCCGAAGGGGCTTCCTCCTTTATCTCCCATGGCTACCGTGGTCACCATCACCATGATAGCATTAGGGCTGCTGTAACAAAGGGCCACGCTGGGTGGCTTAAACAACAGAAATTAACTTTCTCACAGTTGTGGAGGCTGGAAACTCAAGATCAAGGTCTTGGCAGGTTTGGTTTCCCCTAAGGCCTCTCTCCTTGACTGTGTCCTCACATGGCCTTTTCTCTGTGCACGCCTGTCCCTGGTGTTCCTTACCTTCTTACAAGGACACTAGTCATATTGGATTAGGCCCTACCCTTGTGACCTTATTCTAACTTCATCACCTCCCAAAGGCCCTGTCTCCAAATGCAGGCATATTGGGGCTTAGGACTTTGACGTATGAATGGGGGGGAACAAAAATTCCATCCATAGCAATCATCGTTACCATCACCATCACCAACATCACTGGTACAGTCGTTATCATCATCATCTTCTTCATCACTGGTATCACCATCATCGGTATCATTGATGTCATCATGTGACATCATCACACTGCCACCTCTCTCTTGATCATAACCACATTGGCCTCCTTCTCATCACCACCGTCACCACCATCACCATCATCACCATCATCACCACCATCACCACCATCACCACCATCACCACCGTCACCACCATCACCACCGTCACCATCGTCACCACCGTCACCACCGTCACCACCATCACCATCATCACCATCATCATCACCACCACCACCATCATCACCACCATCACCATCATCACCACCATCACCACCATCACCACCATCACCATTGTCACCACCGTCACCACCGTCACCACTGTCACCATCATCACCACCATCACCACCATCACCACCATCACCACCACCACCACCATCACCACCACCATCACCACCATCACCATCACCACCATCACCACCCATCACCACCATCACCATCACCACCGTCACCACCACCACCATCACCACCATCACCACCATCACCATCACCACCATCACCATCACCATCACCACCATCACCATCATCACCACCAGTACCATCATCACCATCATCACCATCACCACCATCATCACCACCATCACCACCACCATCATCACCATCATCACCACCATCACCACCATCACCATCATCACCACCACCACCATCATCACCATCATCACCACCACCATCATCACCATCACCACCATCACCACCATCATCATCATCATCACCACCATCACCACCACCATCATCACCATCACCACCCTCATCATCATCATCACCACCATCACCATCATCATCATCACCACCATCATAACCATCACCATCATCATCATCATCACCATCACCATCACCACCATCATCACCATCATCATCATCATCATCATCACCACCATCGTCATCATCACCATCATCACCATCACCACCATCATCATCATCATCACCACCATCAGCACCATCCTCATCATCATCACCATCACCACCATCATCATCATCATCATCATCATCACCACCATCAGCACCATCCTCATCATCATCACCATCAGGGAAATGGGCAACACTGTAGATCAGCCACGCCTGCCCTCTAAGTCCCTGGGAGCTTGCTCTGTTTCTCTCCCACAGCATACATCAGTTTCCAAGCCAACCTGCTATATCATTTGCATATTTAGGATGTTTGTGTGTTTTTTTAAAAAAAAACATGTGTGGAATGAGTGAAGCGATAACCCCAGCAGGCGTATTGTAACCGCTGCACCGCCCTGCCTAAGATTCTCCGGTGCTGGCATATTCTGGGGTCTCTGCTACTTTCTTTTCTTTCGTTCTGATTTCCCCCCTGTGACTTTCAGGGTTGGAACCACGAGAAAAAAAACAGTGGGGGTGGAGGGCACAATTTGGTGGTGAATGTGGCCCCATGCCAGGCGACTGTCCCCTCCCCAGCCCCTCTGCCATCTGGACGCCTGTTCTCCCACTACCTGTCCCCGCGCCAGCCTCTGGGCCTCCAACATCCTCCCGCCCTGCGGCCCGCACGTCTCCACCCCGGGCCCCCGCCAGGCGGGCACCGCGGGGTGTCATCAGCTCCAGCACCGCCTAAACGCTGCTGCCTGTGCAGAGCCACGGCCCGGCCACCTGCGCGGGCCAGGAGGCCGCGGGGCAGTTACAGACGCACCAGGCCTCTCGGCCTGGCAGGGCGGGAGACTTCCATCCTAGGGTGCTTTGTATATTTTTTAATGGAAAAATATGTTAAACATTCAGATAAACAGAGGAAACATTAATAGACCCCAAGACAGCAATGCCGAGGCCGAGGCAGATTCATTTATTTCATAAATATTTGCCGAGAGACCGCTGTGTGTCCGCAGCTGGGATACAGCACGGAGCAAAATAAACACAAGAGACCCTTTGTTTAACGCAAGGATCTGACGTATAAATGGAGAAGCTGGCAAAAACAAAACAAAAAAAGAATAAATATATTAGTCTGCTGGGATTGCCGTAGTGAAGTCCCCCCGGCTGGGGCTTAAATGCAGAAAGTTATTCTCCCACGGTTCTGGAGACTGAATGACCCAACGTCCGGGAGCAAGATATGGTGTCTGGTTTCTTTTGAGGTGTCTCTTCTTGGCTTGCAAACGGCTACCTTCCCAGCGGGGCCCTGGCCAAATTCCTGCCATACAGGATCCGCGAGATAGAAGAAAACACTGACTGTTTTAAGCGTGAACATTTTGGGGTCATCTGCAATGTCACAATAGTAAGCAGAACAGTGCCACGTGCTAGCTGGTGGCTTTCATGTGTGTGTCTGTAATTACTAACCAAATCGCACAGTCCCGCAAGAGTTTGTTCGTGATGTCTGTTTCCTCTCCGGGGAACTGCCTGTTCATTGGGAAAATAGACCAGGGTTTAATTTCTAAGAAACGATCTCAGTGTGTTGTGTCTTCCTTTCCCAGAAGGGACTAGATAGATGTATATCACCTACCAGAGCCTGAGGTATTGGTGCATTCATTGCTTCATTTGTTCATTCATTCATTTGTTTATTTAGCCACATTTTTTTTTTCTTACATGTTTAGGACCTACTATGTTCTGAGCTGTGCACTAGAGGCTGGAGATTTAGTGGCTATTAT